CAGTGGACGAGACTATTTATAAATTCAAATGAATTAATGAAGCATATTAATCAAAAACATTTTCTGCAATAAAAAGAGGATATTTAAATGTCTCTACAACCGTTTAATGAGGCCTTAATATTATGTTGGCACAAACTTATAACTTAGTCTAATTAAAGAACAGGAAACCAGAGGGTGATGCCACAGTGGCTGGCTGTACATCTTTTATATACAGTTTAAAAATGAACAGAGTCTTTGTTGTCTTTCTTCATTTACAGTCAGAGCTCAGTGATTGTCATAAAAGTAATCATAAAAAGCAGCTCAGCCTCGCTGGTCCGACTCGCTTTTTCTGTTTTTCTTGTTCGCTCTGAGTTTGTGTAAACACGAGCTGCTTGGTTTGTCTAAAGAGGGATTAACAAATTTATTAGACGCTCTGTACTAAAAACAAGAAAGCACAAATTTGTTAATTGTTTAAACCAAGTTGCAAATTTGTATGTGATCAATTGAAATGGCAGTTAAAGTCTTTACAGTGCTGAACAAATTTATTAGATGACCTGACCTAAAAATAAGAAAGTACAGTTTATGAATCTGTCAAAAACTTGTTTAAAATTAAACAGAGGAGAGAGAAATCAATCAAGCACAACAATTAATCACAAAAACAGAGCCGGATTTATCAGACTACCTCCAGAATTGGGAGTGAAGAAGATGGAACAACCTGCCCGAACTGATCGTGGTATCACCTCGGGCGTGTTGTTCGTACCAGAGTGACCAACACAACCACACTGGCTGACACAGTTGGATTGATATCTGGGTAATTTGGAGGCCAAATCAACACCTCAAACTCGCTGTTGTGCTCCTCAAATTCCTGCTTTGTGGCAGGGTGCATCATCCTGCTGAAAGAGGCCATAGCCATCAAGGAATGCTGTTTCCATGAAAGGGTGCACATGGTCTTCTACTTAAGAAGGTAGTACGTGTCAAAGTGACATCCACATGGATGACAGGTTTCCCAGCAGAGCATTGCCCAAACATCACACTGCCTCCACCAGCTTGCCTTCCTCCCATAGTGCATCATGCTGCCCGGTGTTCCCTGGTAAGTGATGCACATGCACCCAGTCATCCACGTGAGGTAAAAGAAAACATGAGTCATCAGACCAGATCACCTTCTCGCATTGCTCCGAGGTCCATTTCTGATCCTCACGTGTCCATTGTTGGTGCTTTAGGCAGTGGACAGTATTCAGCATGGACACCCTGACTGGTCTGCAGCTATGCAGCCCTGTACACAACAAACTGTGATGCTCCTCGTATTCTGACACCTTTCTATCAGGACCAGCATGAACTTTTTGGGTAATTTGAGCTACAGTAGCTTATCTGTTGGATTGGACCACAAGTGCATCAGTAACCCTGTCGCTGGTTCACCACTGGTCCTTCCTTGGATCACTTTTGATAGATACTGACCATTGCAGACCGAAAACACCTCACACCTGCCCATTTTTCCAGCTTTGAGGACAAAATGTTCACTAGCTCCCTAACATATCCCCACCCACTAACAGCTGCCACGATGAAGAGATAATCAGTGTTACTCACTTCACGTCAGCGCTGAAACCTTGAAGAGTTTCACATAAATTGTGTCATATAAAGAAAAGTCAAACAAATTGATTTCTTGATAAATATTTAACATTTTTAATAACACTTTCTCACACTTGTGTAAACTTTGTAAACAAACATTCACATTTGATCACAGTTTTAAGACTCTAACCCCTGCACGTGCTTACATGGATTCTCATCAGTGCAAACACGCTAACAGAAGCTCCAACATCAGTGTGTAGAAACATGAACTCTTTCTGCTCTTAAAGGTGACCTATCATGCTCTTGCTTGTTTTCTCTTGTATATATAACAGTGCAGATCTCTAATCTGGTCACCTCGGCCACACAGCTCTGCCTGTGAGCACAGACCCACCTGCTTATGAGCAGCAGCCAATGAGAAAAAAGTCAGCTACAAAAGGTGAAGCATGCATGAAATTTAATTGAGGCCCAGCGTAAGATCAAGAAGCTTCATTTGAACTTTGACTCACGCAAAACTGCTCTGAAGCTATAAATATGAAAGCATAAATGAGCCTGATGGGTCCCCTTTAATGTTTCCAGTATGCACATTTACTATATATAAAAACCCATTAAACGTCCCAAAAAAGACTTACAGCTCAGCTTCTATTGTATAACCCACCACTGAGTAAACCACAGAAAGAACGTCTACATTCAACACAGGTCCGTAAGACTGAAACAGTCCTTAAGACTGTTTCAAGGCACCCTGGTATATAACAGACTGTAACATGAGTTTAAGTACTCTTCGAGGAGAAACTCCAGCTTCGTGTCGTGTCTTCATACATCAGAGCCACCAGAAACGCACGTAGATGATGAGTGTGACAAAAAACACTGCCACAGCTGCAAACTTAGCATAGGTGGAGCGGGTGTTGAGATATTTGGCATCCTTGTGGTACTTTTCTGCCATGTTGGAGAGATTGCTGGCTTTTGTGCAGATAGCTGAGAAAGAAATAGGATGAAGGAAACATTAATTTTGTTCTGATTGGTCATTTTGATCAGAATCTCCCATTTGATGGTATGTGTTACCAACACTGGCTACGCTTACCACAGAGAGAGTCTCTCTGCAGGACTTCATCAATATTTGCCACCATTATTTTCTGAATATCATCCAGTTCTTTTTTAGTACTTACCAGAAAGAGCTTCTCCTCTCTGCAGGACCTCCTCAATATTTCCAACCATAATTCTCTGGATGTCCTGCAGCTCTGTGTTAACACTGCTCAAGGTCCTCCGAGCTCTGCTGTCCACATATGACTTCTTAACTTTCTGGATGTAGGTGTCTGGAACAACATGTAGGATGCTTTAAAAATTTTCTTTCTTTTTGTAGAAAGTGAGTAGCGCCACGTATTTGTTTGCGATGCATCCAGAAAGTATTCACAGCACTTCCCTTATTCTAAATTTTGTCACATTACAGCCTTATTCCAAAATAGATTAAATTCATTTTCACCTCTAAATGACATAATTGCAAAGTGAAAAAAGATTGAAAGTCCTGAAAATTTGTAACAAATAAAAAAATCTAAAAATAACACACA